TATATATATATATAGTTTATATTGAGAGAACAATAAAGTCAGACTACTGTGCAAAAAGATAGTCACATCCCCTCTGTCGCAACTTGAAGAGTGCAAAGAACCAAACGCAAGTTGCAACAACAGACAATGAATATTATTGATTAATTACTCATCATCTTCATGTAACTCTACCCAACTACATCACAATCTCTCTACAATCTTGTGCTACCACTACCTATCAAACTAGCTAGCTTCACTCCCCAAAGCACTCTATAGCTTCTTCCATTTTCTCTTCCATAACAACCCCCACTCTCTTATATATATAAACCCAGATCTTAGAGTTCTTCTCTGCTTCTTGCAGTACCAATGGTGTTTTCCATGCTCCCATGCCTTCATCTGTACAACTGAACAGCTGAAACTAATCAGTAGAGTAAATAGAAGAAATTTCTTCTGTAATTATAAGCTGTTTTATTAATGTAATAGAGAGACATGCCTCCATGTCTTAATACGGGCCCTCTCCCTTGCTTCCATGCTGAAACAAGCACATGTTGTTGTTCAGAACTATATTGTTGAGAATTAGATCTTGTCTCTCATCTGGAATTTGCTTCAAAAAACTAACATTTTCCTGTAAAATCCATAGATGAATTCACAATTTGCTCTTTTGTTAGCTCTCTCTCTCTCTCTCTCTCTCTCTCTCTCTTACCTGAGAGAGGAAAAAGGATCCTTGATTCTGTAACAGTACTGGAGGATGGTTCATCATGGTTTCATACCCTTTACATGTGCCCTGATCAAGGGTTGGTTGTAGCAAAGAGAATGGCATTAGCTGTGTCATCATATTCACATAATCAGTAAAAAATCATTGAATATATATATATATATATATATATATATGACATAAACATAACTAAAAATCTAACAAAAAAAATCTTAAAAAAATTTTACAGCCTAAGTTATAAGTAATCTAGGATATATATATTCTAATCATATTTTTTTTCTAAAATTAAGTGATATTTAACCACCAATTTACTTCATTATATATACCCCATTGTATAAAATATAATAAATTTATAATTTCAAAAACATTAGTCCAATTAATAAAAATAAAAATAGGAGACCAATTATCTACTCTACTATTAGTTAGTCATGTCTACATACCCACCTCTGTTTGATTGACTAGACAATCATAGTCATCTGAAAGGTCAAACATCATTGGATTCACACATGCAAGCTTCATTGACAGAAACTGTAATTTCGCCAAAAAAAAAAAAAAGAAAAAGTATCTACTAAAAATCACATGTAAATTAATTAAAAAATATATTCTCAATTAGATTAAGTACTTACCTCAACTTGGTTCTGCAAGGACTGCACATAATTGATTATCTCATCAAGCATCATAGTACCACCTAATAATATAAATCAATAATTACATTATTTATTTATATAAATAAATAAATTATTTATTTATTTATGAATCTGAACCTTTTCACAACCAGGAACAAGTCCCTGAAGAACCTTCATCCTTTCACTGATCTTCTCTCTTCTAACCTGATCATATTCCAACATAAACAATAATAATAATAGTAATAATTTATAATTTCATTTATATAACTAAGAAAAATAATAAAATTTACTCTCTCTGCAAGACTATGACTATCTGTAGCTTGACCTCTCCTTGCTCTAACATGTATATAACCAACAGGCGCTTCATCCCCTTCCTTCTCCTTCTGCTTTCTTCTCCTTCCATGAAACTTTGCATCCTAATAAATCAAATAACACCAACTGATCAATATACAAATATATACAAAAACATATTTTTATATTACAAAAATACCTTGATAGCGTAAAGATTGTTTCTTTCACTGTAATGAGAAGAATTGGATGCATTGCTTACAGTGCGATGAACAGTAGAGGAGGATTCATTAATGGCTTCTGCTAAGGGATCAAAGGAGTAATCAGTCATCTTTCTTAGTTGCGAGAAGGTGGGGAAGGAGAAGGCACTCTGTTCTTCAATTCCAGAGCTCATTAAAGAGCTCCTGAACAGAGAGAGAGAGAGAGAGAGAGAGAGAGGGGTAATATTGATCTGTATGATATCAGAAATGCGCAGACCTGCGGTGCTGTTGCTTTATAGAAAAAGTTGAGATAAGACGCATTATGGATCTCTTGATACTTTTTACTAGAGCTCTATATGAATGGTTTCAGGCTATGTCGGCACAGTTACTCTGCTATGGGGAGAGGAGCAGGGGGCTAATTAGAGGGAAAATGTGTGTATAAATGGGTTATACTTTGTGGGGGCGGGGGGCTCACAGCGGACCGTTGGAGAAATTGTAGAAGGTGCAGCAGTGATGAAGTTGTGATCTTATAAAAAAATTATTTTTTTGCATTTAGAATGATAGATTTTAGAATATTTACATATGTATACTGGAGAATTATTATGTATTTGTATATCTAACTCCTAAATTTCGCTTTTAAAAAGATAGGAGTGGTGGTGTTTTTAATATGATGTTAAGTATTTGAGGGATGTGTATGTAAATATGAATGTTTAGGTGTTTGGCAAATATGTAGATAGATAAGAATTGTGTGGTGCGTATGCAAATGCTCCATGTTAGAGTAGTTGATTTATGTAGAATTAGAGGTGAATTGATGATGAGATCAGGGTGTGCAATTATATACTGTGAAATTCATTTACATGATAAGTTCGATCATCCTCAAAAATGACTCAGATTCCACCATTGCAGAGAAGATTTGTAGTTGGTTTACATATGTAGGATACAACATCATTTATGTATCATGTAAGCAAATAAATAGAAGGCATAAACGCGTATATCTGGAATAAAAATTTGTTAAAATATATTGCTTGTTGTATGCTCCTAAATTTGTGGAGGCAGTGTCATATATTAACTGTCATAGTACTGTACAAAGATTCAACAAACACATATATAAGAAAATCGATAGAAAAGACAACATTAGTTAGTAAAAAATCTGAAGGGGAAAAATCACGGTCGGGTTTGACCCAGTTTAAATGATTCCACTATATTAATATAGGTTATAAAATTTTATAGACCCATGAATAGAAGAAGCAGTATTACACGAGTGGGATGTGACTTTCACTAAGAAAGTGACAGAAAATATTAAGGAATTGGCGGTGACCCGACAACAATGAAGAAAAGCCGGCACTAGAGACCAAGTGTTAGAAAGTTTCATGCTAGCATCGGCGGTAGCGTTGTCGATGAAGGTCTGGCTATGACAGCAACTCAACGACAGTGCTAGACATTGGGGGTATGACACTGGCGGTGGTTGGGCAATGATGGTCTGAAAGTTTTCTGAGAATGATGCAATTCAAGGATTCCTGACTGGAGATATCTGGATGTGTTGGGTCAACTACCTTCGCGATTATGTAGACTTAGAGTTCTAGTGGCTTGAGATGACGGGTCTGTGGTACCCTGACTCGACCACCTCTACATGTTTAGGTATTACTCCTCTCTTTATTTGACTACCCACTTTGAGCCCTATCACTCCACTTGTTGTCGTTGATATCATCTTAACAACCCGATTATCGATGAGTTGTCACTCGTTTGGAATACGATGATTTGTCCTCTACACTTATAGCCTAAAAGTGCTTAGACATATCAGGATATCCCGTCAGGATGATCTGATTATTTTGTAGGCTTCGTATACTAATGAGTCTGTTACCCATGCAGGATCGTGAGAGACTCACCCTTCACCTCGAGACTTAGCAGAAGCTTTGAAAGCATCAGAACATTCACCTACGAAAGAACTGTCTTTTCATAGCCCTTTGTTAGTTGTCACTTCTAATGCAATCAGAACTCTCTAGATCAAGAGTATTATTGAGCAACTCTCAAGATGTAATTAACAAAGTGAGATACATCCTCTTCAGAGCACTCTAGACCCCAGAAGAGGAAAGTACACCTAAATCTCTTGTTGTGGGTGATCTACATAGGTATTCTTTCGTGAATATTGATCCAAGGTGCTTCCTCCGGATCTTATTTGGACGGACAGACTCGATCTATCATTGTGAGATTTATCACACACAAACCATCTACATTTCCTTTCTCTCATTTGTGTCTATCGTATTTTGACTTTTTTGGTTACTCTTTTCTTCTGATCATTCACATGATTCAGAAGAGAAACTTATTCAGAAAAGGGAAGTATACAACGATGAACAAACAGATGACTCCTTCAACTATATATATATATATAATTGATGAGTAGTATTTTAAAAAAAAAATTAGTTACTACGAGGTTACAAAGATTTATAATCAATTAAAATTATTAATAAAAAATACAATAAAAATATGTTAAATTATGTTTCAATACAAATAATAAGATTTAAATCTCACTTTATCTTTAGCATCCTACGACAGTGTAACTAGGATTGTCAAAATGAATCTTTGTTCCTAAACAACTCGTGTTCAGCTCGTTAAGCAAACAAGCCGAATACAAACACATTTTTTGTGTTCAAAATATAAACAAACCGAACAGAAACAGTAATATTTTTAACTAGCAGAATGCGAGCTGAGCCTGAACTCGCTCGTGTTCGACTCTTTTACACCACTAGAGCTAAAGCATCCTCGAAAGAATGGAGCTCCTTTAGCTTTCTCTTTCAAGTCGAGGTCCCAGGTCTTCTGTCATAGAGGGAATGAGAGTCTATTTATAAAATTTTGTGAATTACATCTTTTGTAAATACGGCGCAAATCTAGACCAGTACTCCATCGAACAGTGAGGAGCAATCTCTTTGATCGGATGAGTTCTATGAGCATTTGAGTGTCTTAATGATGTTATAATTTAGTGATCTCAGGCATGTTGGATTTAGCTCGATGAGACACTCATATTGACTATTAGATTGTTAGATTTGAAATTCATTTGACTATTCAATTGCCCATTCAAACCATCGAATTGATCTTAATCAATTTGATTTGGGCTTGGTTGGACTCGAATTGGACCAAGTTTAGAGTAGTTAGGTCCGCCTAGCCAAGTTTCTCAGCTTGATTTTAAGTTTGATGAAATTGGAGCTTAGATGATCATGAATTCGTATTTGCAGTTGTTAAAATTCTGCGAGATTCATGCATAATTAAAATAAATATTTAGGTAATAAGTAATTTGATGGCTAATTTAAAATATATGTAATTTTTCTTATTTTTTTTTCTAATTTTATAATTCTCATACTATTTTTATTTTATATCATGCGGCTATTTCTTTATCAATTGAATTTAAGGCAATTAAAAATTTTAATTACATTTTTAATTTCATCAGCAGTTATATTTTTTTTTATTATTTGAATTTATTTTATATTTATTTAATTTGTGTAATTAATACGCAATAATTTAGTTTCAAGAATATAATATTACATTGATGTGTTCAATGGTGTTTCTGTAAAAAATCATTACCTTATGGTCTTCGAAAAGCTTATAAGATCTCTGGTCTTTACTTCTCTTTTGTTTAGGAATTTCAGTGACGATGAGAATAAGATGAGATTTTAAAGATAGATTTTTTATTTTATTTTTTTTACATGACCAACCCGAAACTTACTATTTACAAATTAGCCACCATCTTTTATCTATTTTTCAAATAGTCAGTCAAACATCAAAATCCATGGTGAAATCCAAGCCCATATTTTTCATTTTCTTAATCAAATTCTCATAGTTTGATCATGACACATGTAAATATATAAGTTTGGTAGTTAAGAAACTTCATCTCTGTAATTAATTTGTAAATATCAACGTAACATGTGATATGTATGTAATAATCTCTTCTTGAAAAATTTCCATCTTAAGTCCTCAAGGCAGTTGTTTTAGATGGTTTGGTTGCATTAAACGTCGACCATCTAATGATCTGATTAGGAGAGTAGATCTTTTATATCTGACTTGTGCTAAGAAAGGCAGAGGTAGACCTAGGAAGACTTGGGCTTATTACTTGGGCTTATTGTATT